TTACTCCTGGGGATTCTTTCAACATATGTTATATTTGGGATTAGACTTTCTCAGTAAGGTACAGCACTTTTGTGATGTTGAGTGCCATACAGGATTCGAAACCACACTCTCAGAGTCAGGTACCGGTTCACCAGCATACAAAGTCAGACAGCTAACCCAGTCAGCCACTTTGGCTTCCACACTGGAGATCCTTGACAGAATCGGTCCCCAGTATCCTATCCTGACTGAACGAGTCACCCAAACTGAACAGGTAGTCAGAAACAGTCACTTGACTGATCGTTGTCATGGCAACCTGAAAACATGGATCATTTATAACACTATCTATCACTTGATTGTCTGGTCTAGATTTGATTACTTACAGGCCACTGTCACTATCAATCACTTGATCGTCTGGTCTAGAATCGATTACTTACATGTAGCTATCAATCACTTGATTGTCTGGTCTAGATTCAATTACTTACATTTAGCTATCAATCACTTGATTGTCTGGTCTAGATTCAATTACTAACATGTAGCTATCAATCACTTGATTGTCCGGTCTAGATTCGATTACTTACATGTAGCTATCAATCACTTGATTGTCTGGTCTAGATTCAATTACTAACATGTAGCTATCAATCACTTGATTGTCCGGTCTAGATTCGATTACTTACATGTGAGGTGAGGTGAAATTGGGTTTAACGTCGTGCTTGAGAATATTTCGCTCATATGATGACGTGCATGCATGTGTATGTGTATGTGCGGCTGCTTGTACTAGCCCAGACTGAAGTTGGTTTTATAGTGCTAGCCCACTCAGATACCATGCCGCAGTGAAGCATGAATACCCCACTCAGACACATTATACTGACACCAAGCCGACCAGTCCTTGATGTTCCCATTAATGCCGAGCACCAGGCAGGGACCAATAAGTACCATATTTTAACGTCTTTTAGTATTATGTGGTCGGGGATCGCGACCTTTCGCTTTCCGGGCAGACGCTCTAACCACTACACCACGCAGGCGGTCCTACTTACATGTAGCTATCAATCACTTGATTGTCTGGTCTAGATTCGATTACTTACATGTAGCTATCAATCACTTGATTGTCTGGTCTAGATTCAATTACTTACATGTAGCTATCACTGTCACTATCAATCACTTGATTGTCAGGTCTAGATTCGATTACTTACATGTAGCTATCAATCACTTGATTGTCTGGTCTAGATTCAATTACTAACATGTAGCTATCAATCACTTGATTGTCTGGTCTAGATTCAATTACTTACATGTAGCTATCACTGTCTCTATCAATCACTTGATTGTCTGGTCTAGATTCGATTACTTACATGTAGCTATCAATCACTTGATTGTCTGGTCTATATTTGATTACTTACATGTAGCTATCAATTACTTGATTGTCTGGTCTAGATTTGATTACTTACATGTAGCTATCAATCACTTGATTTTCTGGTCTAGATTTGATTAATTACAGGCCACTGTCACTATCAATCACTTGATTGTCAGGTCTAGATTCGATTACTTACATATAGCTATCAATCACTTGATCGTCTGGTCTAGAATCGATTACTTACATGTAGCTATCAATCACTTGATTGTCTGGTCTAGATTCAATTACTTACATGTAGCTATTAATAACTTGATTGTCTGGTCTAGATTAAACTACTTACCTGAGCTATCAATCCCTTGATTGTCTGGTCTAGATTTGATTACTTACAGGCCACTGTCACTTTCGATCACTTGATTGTCTGGTCTAGATTCGATTACTTACAGGCCACTGCCACTATCGATCACTTAATTGTCTGGTCTATATTTGATTACCTATAGGCCACTGTCACTTTCGATCACTTGATTGTCTGGTATAGATTTGATTACCAGTACTCACTGTCAACCACATGATTTATAGAATTGCCAAATGCCACATCATGGGCTACTCAAAAGGCTGTGCAATGGAAGAGCTAGTCAATAACATGACTCTGAGACAACAAACAAGCTTAATGGTAAACATGGCAGATATATTCCAAAGTATGTCTATGGACCACATACACAAGATTCAGCAGTTGGTTATTGCAGTTGTCTTTACACTGACAAGAGACACAAAAATCAATACAATCTGTGCTGAATAGAGTGTAGTCTACAAGCCTGAAGTTTTCCCTTCACATCTGTTTAACAAGATATTTAGTCACACATGGGCTATAACATACATAAGCCAAGGACCATCTGTTACTAAGTGCAGTGCTTTCAGAGCAAACCAGGGCTGGATTTACAAGGTTGCCAAAATGGCACATATATCGGTAAACATGGTAGGGCCAATTTCTAACTATCCAAAATTAGTATGGGTAGGCAGGGTGTGTTTTGTTTGAACAAGATAAATACCTGATTTGTCAACAATGTATAGTTGTGTTAGTTTGCATATAGCAATATTACAGCAATATCATGGTTGGGAACACCAGAAAGTCTGCATATATAGCAATATTAGAGCAATATCATGGTTGGGAACACCAGAAAGTCTGCATATATAGCAATATTACAGCAATATCATGGTTGGGAACACCAGAAAGTCTGCATATATAGCAGTATTACAGCAATATCATGGTTGGGAACACCAGAAAGTCTGCATATATAGCAATATTACAGCAATATCATGGTTGGGAACACCAGAAAGTCTGCATATATAGCAATATTACAGCAATATCATGGTTGGGAACACCTGAAAGTCTGCATATATAGCAATATTACAGCAATATCATGGTTGGGAACACCAGAAAGTCTGCATATAGAAATATTACAGTAATATCATGGTTGGGAACACCAGGAAGTCTGCATATAGAAATATTACAGCAACATCATGGTTGGGAACACCAGAAAGCAGCTTCCCAGTGTGAACCCATGTTGGTAATAAAACAGCCTGTTGGTGTGATAACATCAGTAGCAAAGAGCAACACATTTTTGTTAATGGCTAAAAGTGATGATGATAAAAGCTGTTCTGCATGAGGAAATTAGACAAATCCATTTAGGCTCATGGGTGAGTGAGTGAGTCTGCTTTAACGCCGCTTTTAGCAATATTACAGCAATATCACGGCGGGGGACACCAGAAATGGGCTTCACACATTGTACTCATGTGGGGAATCGCATCCAGGTCTTTGGCGTGACGAGCGAAGGTTTTAACCACTATGCTACACCACTGCCCCTTAGGCTCATGGGTTCCAGTCTAGATTGGCAGCCCCAAAGGAAATGACTCCTATTGGAACAGTCATATTTACTTTATATTAGACTAACATAGGAAAAAAGCCCAAAGCGATGTATGTCTCAGATGTTATCACTATGACATCTATAACTACAAATCAGGTGCAGACAGACCAAGAAACATGATTAGGATGAACTTGGATTCAAACCATACCGTATATGACCGACTATAAGTCGGATCCGACTATAAGTCGGGCCCCTTTCTCAACCCTCTAAATTCTTGCCAAAACCATGTAACTCAAGCATAAGTCGGCCCCTTTCCCCGTACGAATCGGTATCGCCGCCTCAATCTTCACGCTCGGACACGATGTTTAATGCGAAAATATATGCATGAATCATTTTTGTCACAGGTCATAACCTAGCACGATACGTCAAATAAATCCCATAATTTACGTATAGCTAGCGATTTCTTGCTTAATATGTTCAGAATAGCATTATTTTACCCAAAACTTTCGTCTACATCTAAAGTTTTCATTTACGAGGACGGTATCCATTGCCGTAATATGATTAGCTGCCTTAGGTCACGTGTCTGGTTTTGACCAATCATGACCCTTATAGCAGACTGTGGCGAAAAAGCGTCATTAGAAACCAATTTTTATCCAATAAAATTGCTTCTTACAAGTGTGAAAAATACTCTCGGCAAGGGTACAGTGATATTGTTGATGTTCACAGCTTTCGAACGATGCCCGACATCAAACGATTCGCCTCGCATGTTATTCATACGAAGCTTCGAAAACGGAGGTATTTTCCGTTGTTGTGTCATGTTACCGAGCGAAAAGCCACTGATATCGGGAAATAGGCGACCATACATATTATTTAAGAAATCTTTTTATAACAGTTTTCTGATCACGTAACAATGGAAATATAGCAGAAGAGGTCACGGGCATTTTATGACATGTCACAAATGGAAAAATATCGCTATAGTTTTTGCTTCTTTCGTGGTTTATCTGGATATAAATGTAAACTTGCATTTTCATCATTAACAGTATTTTTCAAAACCACCACACAAAACTGCCACAGAATTCAAATAAGTTTACTTTACGTGAAACAAGTCGTGTCACGTGGCCCAACTTTATCGCGCGATAACAAAGTACCGGTTAGTGCATAGCCGTGATAAAAATATCTGATTAAATTTAATTTATTGTTTATACTATGGAATATATTTTACAAAAGACAAACAACAAAGTTTTATATTTTATGTTTTATTTGTCCCACGATGTCATTTACCTTTGGAAACGTTGTCAGTACGTATATGCGTCCTGCTTCCGGTGTAAACATTGCCAGTTGAGTTCGCAGGGCTGGCAGATTCACACACCTGATCTCGGGATTTTTTGGGGTAGATTAATGAACTCAAGTATAAGTCGGGTCTGATTTTTTACCTTCATTTTCTGGTATCAAATTTCCGACTTATAGTCGGTCATATACGGTACATGTTCATTCCCTCAAAATAACATAGGGATAACATATTTAATGCCACTGACAAATATTGAGTCAGTAACATTTTCCACCACTTCAGCAATAGGCCACCAATATCACCTACAGAATCATTAGGCGTTACACAATGAGGCTGTAGTACCCATTCCGGGACTGAGCCCAGACTTTGAGAGAACAATGGAACACTTTAACCCCTGGGCTACCCTTCAATTTGGATGCAAATATGACATTCTTAAACCCATGAACAAGCAGAAAACAACTACTTGCTTAACTATCTTAAGGAAGTACATGATGGTTGCTACAAGGTTTCAAACGGGCCTCACCTTTGGTCCCAGTTCTGGATGGTTGAGAAGCACATGTCTGATGCCGCTCCGGATACAGTTCAACATGTCATAGCGATGGTGGTCAATGTCAACCTCAACTACCCCTTTACGCTTGAGTCGCTTCTGAAGTCGTTGCCAGGCACTGGAACGTGACTTCTGCTCTGCTTGCTGTGGATTGGTAGATGTGGTCGCAGAGGCAGACGCCCCGATTTCATGTAGTTCAATCGACATGGTTCCGAGGGGTTGTGTGGCTTCAATTCATCTGAGATACCAGTCGGTTATTTCTGTTGACATATAAGGAAGAATGTTCATGTATTCTTAAAGTCCTCGCAACAATAACTCAGGGTCGTGAGCATGGTCAATGGAATGGAGAAGAAGTAACTGTTAAGTTAAACACATGTTAAAATCCTTTCAATATCTAGGACTAGTAGCAGATTTTTGTGGTATTAATTCAAAATGGACGCAAATATGACATCCATTGCAGGGCAGTAGATTCACAAAATACACAACGGTTACATGATGATTAAAGATATCATACAAGTGATGTCAGGTACTCCCAAACAAGTATCTAATCCTAAATAGAATTGCATTTCACTCATCAATGCGCATAAAACTTTGTTATGCTCAAACTTTATATAACTGAAGTTCCTCTTCCATAAGAGATATCACCTGAGATAAGTTTGGTGAAACTGGGATATCTTTATGCAAACTTAACATCCAGTCTGTATCTCAAGATTCAGTACACCCAGAAATGATTGAGAATTTAAAGATTGTAATTATTTTATTTTTTTTCACTCATTACTCACGTATTAAATGTGAATATTAGCAGAACATAACTCCAGATTCAAAGACAGGGGAACAGTTAGTATTTTGCCAAGTCACCATGGGCAGCAATGCAGGCTTCAATGCGGCGGGGCATACTACTGATCAAAGAAGTTAGAAAGTCGTGGTCCATGCTGTCCCAATATCGGACCACCTCTTCTTTCATTTCAGCAATATTTGTCAGATTTTTCTTATTGACACTTTCTTTCATAAGTCCCCAAACATTTTCTATTGGATTTAGGTCAGGGCTATAGCTTGACCAATCTAATAATGTCATATTTTGGGTCCAAAACCATGCCTGTGAATGCTTTGAACGATGTTTTGGGTCGTTGTCCTGCTGGAAAATCCAAACATTTCCATAGAACACATGAGCAGATTTAAGTAAATGTCCCTCAAGATTATCTGTGTACCGCTCACTGTTCATATTTCCTTCAATACACAGAGGGGAGTTGCCCCTAACACAGATATGCCACCCCACATGTTAAATTTCGGACTGTACTTTGGGCGTTGATACAAAGGTTTTTCAGTTTGTTTGGTCCAGAATTTCAGTGTATTAGGAAACAGCCACACAGGACTTTCATATGAGAAAATCACATTGTCCCAGTTAAAATTTCTATGCTGTAAGCACCAGTTCAACCTTCGCTTCTTTTGTTCAGGTTTCATGATCGGTGATGGAATTCCTCAACTTTTCTGCCAACCCATTGCATGCAGCTCAGTTCTAATTGTCTCCTTACAGACAGCCACAGTTCCTCTATCAATCATATCCAGCCTTAAGTTTCCTCAACAACTTCGTTTGTTTTTAGAAACAAGAATACCAAGCCGCCTCCTGTCACCGACAGTCAATTTTCTGGGCCTACCTGCGCCTCCCTGGTGCTCAATGCCATATCCATTTGCAATATTTTTCAAAACACGATAAACAGTGGACAAAGGGATGCCTGTTCTACTTGGAATCACTTTAGCTGATCTGATGGCCTTGTTATAATACTCTAAAATCAACTTCCTCTTCTCTAAATCATCCATACTGAGGATCACTGAAAATGTTGTCTGCAAGTAAGTAAACAAAAGGGGATAACTCTTCACAAACTAATGAAAAAGGATTAACAGAGTTGTCTCTCTTGAATGAAACCAATCACTTGATAGCTGGTCACGGTTGTTTATACTAGAAATCCAATTAAACATATTCCTAAAATTCTCAATAATTTCTGATCATACTATATAGTGAGGAACAGAAGGTAATCTTTTAATAGTAAAGTCGAACTAACAACACATTGTCAACATCGTAGGAGGCCCAAGTGAGTAAGTGAGTGAGTTTTAGTTTCATGCCACTTTTAGCCATATTCCAGCAATATCATGGCGGGGCACACCAGAAATGGGCTTCACACATTGTACACATGTGGGGAATTGAACTTGGGTCTTTAACCACTAGGCTACCCCACCGCCCCAGGAGGACCAAGACCTGGGGCATCGTGTGTGACGTCACACCAAGATGACATACAAATCAGGTTAAGTCATTTCCGCAACAGATTTGTGACTTTAACCTTCACGAGCAGACAGTTTTAAAGAGGCGGAATATCAGCACAATCAGGAATCAACTACACGCCACAGATATCTAAGCTAGGCAGCCACACACAGAACCTTTCCTGATGGAGTTTCACTGAGCTCAACATTTATGCAGACATGTCAGGTTCAACCAGGGGCAGTAGAGGGTTGTCTTTAGTGACAAGTCAAGCTTCTCACTGTTCTTTGCCAATGGCAGGGTCAGGCAAGATGTGCCAACGGTGTCTCAAATGATTTGTCATCCTGGGGCATCTCGCTACCATACAGTAACAAATCAAGTTTTGACCCCTGTCTTTCTGCCATTCATGTCGCTACATGGTCCTTGACTAACATTTCAACATGACAACACATACTGCAGTTGTTACACGCAACTTCTTGTAACGTCAATGTTGTACCTGAGATGGCTGATGTCTGACATTGATGTCATTCACTGACTGGCCTTCCTATTCCCTAGACCTTAATGTGATCACACACATTTGGAATGACCTGGGAAGACAAGTGTGACAGCAGATGAGTCAACCCAGGACCTTGCAAGAATGTTGTGCTGCCATCATGGCTACCCTTGGAAACACTTAGTCTAGTTATTGACTTTTTCTGTTCCAACAGTTTTATTAGTGTCAAGTTCGCACTGAGATGTCATGGAACATCATGCATTATTTTTCCAATAAAATGAGGCTGCAATCCACTTTTTGTTATCTGTATTTTACCAGGATGATGGCAGTCCGTTCAGTGATACACATCTATTTCCATTATAACTCACACACTACTTACAAGGGATTCAATTAAATAAGTGTCAAGTTTTCAATTTGGTTGAGCATACATTAAGTCTGCCACCATGTCTAACTCCAGAGTAACAAGGATTTTGATTTTGACACCAATGAATATGTTTGATATGACCTGCTGTTTGATATATCCCTATCACCCAAACTGGTAAGTATATGTCATGTGGGCCACCTCATTCCTACATTATGGAACAATGTTAAGGAGTGTATAACCAGCCTGGAACATGACACCTAACAGGTGTCAACAAACTGTTGCACTATGTCCTTCATCAAGGGCAGTTTATCTTAATGGATAGCTAGACATTAGCTGCTTCCTACAATATGTCCATAGCACTGTCCAACAGGTACCTCGTTGGTAAGGAACCATTCATAATTTATGGATGGGGGGTGATGATGATTTTAAGGGGAGTCACCCATTTTGTTTGGGGAGGTCATCAATTTTGTACACATGGACTAAGTGGGGATGGGGGGTGTCATTGATTTTGTACATGACATATAGGGGGTCATTTACTTTGTACATGAAATTGAGGGGGGGGTCATTCACATTGTACATGTTTCTCTATAAAAATCATTACCCCACCTAGCCATAAATTATGAATGGTCCCTAATGGATGTAATGATATTGCTGTAATCAATTTCATCTGTCAATTCCAATTTTGATATTCAATGTGAAAAACATTTAAAGAAATGAACACAACAGAATTTATGTGATTTTTAGAAAATATTACTGATTGAACAAACATGTGAAAAGTTCTCTCACAAACAATTTTTGGACACAAATATATAGTACATGTATAAACAAAGATGCAATGAAACTGATGAAGATGATATCAGCTACATTTTCTTTTCTCTCATAAAAGAACCCAAGAGGTTCTATTCAGGCTTGTTTGAGAAGACTCATAATTTAATGAATAAAAACACCTCACTTATACATAACTTAAATAGATAATATAAAATCTGACTGCATGAATATATGTGTGTATGTATTTAAATGATGCTAACAAATATCACACTCAGACAATGATTCAACGTCAATAAATAATCTGAGATTTAAAGATAGGTGTAGTTTTTCTGAATTTGTCTTACCTAAATCATTCATTCATTAATCATCGCTAAATTGAATAACATAAATTTCAAAATATCACTGTGAGTTTCAACTTGGTATTGCAAATGTTTAACCCATATACCCCACTTGTGACATATGTAACTACATAAATCACCTGGCAGTTACCTTGGAGGTGGTGGGGAGAGGGCAACAGTGAAATGAATCTAATCATAAAAGATATGCTATCAACAACCAAGTCTGTCAAAAACAGGTTCATATCTATGCAAATTCAATCCTGAATGGTAAAGCTAATTAAAGTGGGTGCTCCAGCTGCATCACATGTTAATATAATTTTGTTTTAGTTTTTATCTTCATGTTAATTTTCTTTATGAAAATGAAAGCAATCAGCAACGTGTTCAGTAGTGATGACAGTAATAACCTCTGTTTGATTGTGCTGTCAGTGGCAGAAAACACTAGGTGAGACATTTGAAGTGACAGCTCAGCCATTCGTTACAAATGTCGCAGGTTCGGGTCTCTTAGTAACTGTCCAAGACAAATATTAGGAGACAGAGTTGTTTCAAAAAGCTGTTTAGTTGCCTGTAAGAGGAAAATCAACATCATGAAATGTTGATATCTGTCTGCCGTCGTCCGAGACTGACAGCCAACATTGCAGACAAATAGGAGGTGAATTCAAATTGTCCTGACAGACTAAAGATAAAATAATGGTTTAAGTGAAATAGGCAACATATTTATAACCACACATGCTGCGCATGGTAGTAGCACGTTATACAAGAGCCTGCAATGGCAAGCATGGGCTGTTTTAGTTCATATGAATAAACTCGTATTCCAGCCAAGCCCTACATCGAGCACACCTTGGTATAGTGCAAAGTCGTCTAGTTATATGCTGGACTAGGGCTGTTTAACATGTTTAAACACATTATTATGGAAAATATTTTTTGTCAGTTTAATATGACTGGTGTATATTAGATACAGTCATACAGATCATAATAGATTGATGATGAGGTAATCATGAACAGGAAAAAAATTAACTTTGACAACATTACTCATAAATAAGACGTGTTGAATACTTTCTTTCCTCCCTCCTCCGCTACAAAACACAGTGACAATTCATTAAGTATGATAAATCTAAAATTACTGTTTCAATATAAATTTCTGAAAATGGAATGAGTTCTCAGTGCTTTATGCCGAAGCGTTTACAAGGCTTTACCTTCGGTTTGGAAAGATACGATTTGATCGTTTCAAAGATGCGCCATTTCAAGGAGATGTCAAACCTGACAGCTGTCAAACGGAGACAATCCCTCAGGCCCCAGCGCATCTGTTTGCTGCTTTACTGACCGATGTGCATCGAATGCTTAATGTATACAGCCATCCACGTTTCCTGCACACTATATCAGCAAAACGAAAGACAATGCATGGAAATAAACCAACCAGTATCTACCTGCATTACACAGAATTTCCCTTCCTTCGGCTCCAATTAAAATTCTCAAAATATCAATTTTCAACCGGAAGTAAACATTGTTACCCCCCTTTGATCAACAGTTACTTCCCCGTGAGAATACAATGTGGTCCCGGGCTCTCACCGAAAGTTGGAATTAACGAAAATGATGTTTGTTTTTAACTCCTCGATATTTTATTGGTTCGTATAATGATAAAACGAATAGATGGTAATCTATATGATAGCTGTCATTGCATTTATTAGAATAAATAACTCACCCCCGGTAACAGCTTGTCTCTATCTCGAATCAAAACTTGTAAACGCTAACACGGACCCAGACAACTCGACAAAGCGACGGAGAGGTTAATTGGGGAAGAGGTTAACCAAACATCATCATGTCACTTGTCAAACAAAGAATGTGGAAAGAGTTCCTTCCGTTCCCCCAACTCTAAACGAAACTCTAAACCTAACCCTAAACCTAAACCTAACCCTAAACCTAGCCTTAACTTAAGTTTTGGACTTTTAATCATTTTGTGAGTTCTCTAGTAACTGTTGTGTTAAGTTTTGTTTATAATTCTAGAATATTTATACATATTATTTGGGATGGGGGAACGGGAGGAACCCTTACCAAGAATGTTACATGACAATAGCCATGGCCCTTTGTAAGGCAGAAACTGTTTTACTTTGTAGGATGTGAGTCGCAATCGCGTGGCAAGTCGCTCACTGCACTTGTTGAGCTCTGTACAGTACATTGGAAAGGTTCCAGGGACCGTATAAGTTTCAAATTATCAGAGCATTTAGTTTGAGACCATGATATTGAGAAAACCAGCATCGCCAACACATGAAACTGTTACTTGCACTTTCCATCAACAAACATCAAAGTATTTATGATTTGTGCAGTTTCATCAGAGTGAGTGAGTGAGTATGGTTTTATGTCACTTTTAGCAATATCACAGGTCTTCAGCATGATGAGCAGACGCTTTAACAGGCTACCCCACTGCCCCATTTACTTATTCATGAACTACATATGGTTGGTGTTTATATTTTGTCTTATTGGAATCAGAGACCATATATATGGTCTCTGTTGGAATGAATGCCCCAAGATGGAGTCCCCGTGTAATGTGTCAGTAACTTGGCTGATAGTGTGTCATGGTACCAAAACTGCAACGTTATTATTACCCGTAGTATCATAGCTCAACATTTGATTGTTTACAGACCACAGTATATGAGAAAGTAAGATACTCATAACAACTTCATTATTATATACATGATGCGACATTTCGGTATTAGTGTTTCCCCCATGATTATGAAAGGGCAGGGTAGACTCAGAGAAAAAAGGGCACTTTAAAATTCAAAGGGGCATTCAGCAAACAAAAAAGGCACAACAATTAAGGGTTCAATAATTTACTGTGGATGACATAATTTGGGTCTGTTTGGCATGCTTTGATGCAAAGTTCATAAAATTATTCGTCCATATTCTCCTCTTCTTTCGTGCCAAGAACTTGGCCACACACTTCCTCAAGTCAATGTCAGTAAAAGACTTAGCATTCATGCTGACCATAAGTAGCTTGGTGCAGTTATTTACTTTCAGCCTGTTCCTATGGTCTGTCACAATGACAGGGCGCTGAATATAAAGGGCAGGGCGCTGCGCCCTGCCAAATATGCCGGGGGAAAACACTAGGTACAGATTCTTATACTGTTGTCAAGCAAGAGTGAAGTACTGCAGCACAGGACGGACTTATATACATCAACAGGGATTAAGTAATAACAACATGTAGGTATGGAGTATGACTGGAATAATGCTTACTGCAGTATAAACAACAAACACCAAACAATTACAGTACAAAATTTTCTCAAGTATGTGAGACATAACCCAAAAGTTGTTCGTTGTGTAATTTCAGCCTCTTTTGAAGAATGACTGCCGTTCTAGCTATTGAGTGTGATGACAACAGATGCCCGAGAGTGCCAGTCCTGTTGCCATGGCAACAGGGACCCAGGCAGCGATGTGTCAGAGTCAGCAGAAATTGATGGAGGCCCCAAGTTTGTTCCACAGCTGTATGTACAGAGATACAGCTTCGTTCGAAATGTCCTGCATCAACATCTAGTGACAAGTGTAAGTCATGGTAGAAGGTAGCTGCTGTAGCATTCATTCAAAGCACTTCCATATTTCCATGTGTTTAAAACACACCCTGTTCAGCTTTGAGAGGACAATTGTAACTAAGAAAACATTTTTACTTTGGGCCAACATTAAATCACTTATATTTTCTTATAGAGCCTTATATTTTCAGTCCTCAAATGAAGAGGTGGCTGAAATAATCACAGATTTTCACCCGTATCCTGTCAATCTTTGTGCCTTAGTCTTTGAATGAAACAATGACATAAACATAATCTAATGACATGACAAGGAATCTGTGTTTGTAGATAGTATCATCAATAAAAAGCAGTAAATTTACCTTTCTGTCGTATCTCTCAGAAACTGGTCATTAAAATATAAAATAACTACATGTGCAAGCAGAGTTTTTGAAAACCTAATGTCATAATTAATAATGGTGAAAAATTAAAATAACCAAATATAAACAATACTTCAGTAAATGTAATCACATGTTAAAATTGTAATGGTTGATTATAAAATATGGACTAACCTACCAATTAGTGATAAAAGTCTTAAACTTTCAATCTTTGAAAAATATTCACATTTATTTTAAATATACAAGAAATTATGGTATGTTTATGCGTTTGTAGTGATATTGATGTTGGGAAAGTTTATGAAATGTAATATCTTAAATAATATCAGAAAAAGCTCTAAACAACTCTGTATTAACTCAATATATTTTCAGAACCGGAAATGATTTCATGACTACTTGGTACCTACTTTAATCAATTTAATCCAATACTTAACGTTAGTATTAACCATAACTTAACAGCGGTAGTAAATCAATTGCTTATTGTACATAAATAATGTAAATCAAACATTTCATTAATTCCTTTTGTTTTACAGATAAAAAACATGTCCACTATTCAGTGATCGAAAACTGAATTTGTGACTACAAACATAGATCAGTAGGTGTACGAATGCTATATATATTTACAGTACACAAATTACTTAGTGGTTTAGAAAGTCTCTTTTTGAATTGTTCACTTGGAATGCTGCTTTTTTTGACAGTTGTCACAATCAAAAGTTGACAATTATAGCAGAGTTTGTTTTTCATTTTCCAACGAACTACCAGTTTGGATTAGCACCCCTTGACTACAATTTCTAAGATACCATGGACCTAAGAAATCCATTGGGCCAACATCAGAATGTTATCTGGAAACCAATTCACAGTAGAAAGTTACTGTGGGCTTTATTTAACTTTAAGCATTTAGAACTTGCACTGGTGCATCCTGAAACTGTAAAATGGAACTTCATATTTATACCAACATGCACCAGTACATGTTAACATTTTGCTGTTCAAAGAAGACAGCTGGAAGGCAAAATGATGTGGAGCAGTGACTCCAATGACTACACAGACAGTGACTGAATGAATATTACTGTTCATGTCATGAAATTTTATAAAGTAAGATCAAATGATCTTATCAGACCCAGAATAATTTGTTGAAATGATGTCCTAAATCACCAATACTAAAACTCAAGCATTTTACATAATTTTTATATTGAACAGCAGGTCAACCTGTTTTTGTCTGATGCAACAACGTTGACACCTAAGGTTGCACCTGATGCAAATAGGCTCATTTCCTTAAATCAAGCATTGTATCATCATTAATTTTTTTAATTTTATTTTAACGTTTTTATTTCCCATGTTTACATGACATTATAATTATGAACAGATGTTCACATATACAAGACATACATAAATAGGTAGTATCTACAGGCTTGGCATAGGGCCTTAGTCGGTGTTACATTGACCATTCTTTCTTTGCAGATATTACATATAGATAAGTAGGCATCAGTACATAATGTTGTTTCATATTGTATATGAATTACAACTTGTGTATGTTTGACTACCTCTGGTAACATGCAAGGTATAAGTCATTTAACATTACCCATTATTTCTCAACAGATGTTTACATGTACATAAGTATACAAAGTACAGTGTATGAAAACGTCTACTGCATGTTTGACTGTTTCTAATCACCTGCAAGGCAAATTATTTTAACATTAAAGTGTACTCTGTATCATCATTATGCTTCATGTGCCTGGAGTCTTGTTTAGAGCAAGCAAAAACTTACAACTTTTTTCGAAAGACCAATGTTAATGCATATCTTTGCATAAACTGTGATGGAAGTTATGAATAATACATACAATTATATTTGTATTTCCCATTAAGCTGAACGTAATATATTGTGATGAATATCATAATCATTGTGGTTTTCTGGGAAAATAACCTGAAATGGCAGTCACCTGTTTTCTTATGTCCCATTACTTTCAGACATTTACATGGAAGGTAAAATACCCTGTGTCATATCTGAAGTGATTTTGAGTAAAAGCTTGCTGTGATAGTTCAACTAATGAGCTTTTCGGAATTTTGATCCTGTGCTGAATGAATGAGGTAATTTCCTGTGCCCTTGACAAGTGGCTCATGTTTTGACCCATAGAGTGGAATGAGGTTATTGTATGCTTCTCCAAAGAAGTACAGGGCTACTCCTTTCTTCCATATTAATCTAGTTAATCTGCCAGGCCATGACAGATTAACTACTGTAGAATTGGGTCGTCCTCAACTTCTTATGAGTATTATATGGCAGAGCTTAACTTAACTGCTAGCCCTGTGGTATATGACCTGTAGTAACAGTAGAAGGCCAGTTGTTACTTAGGGACCGTTTCATAATTTATGGCTAGGGGATGATGATGATTTTCAAGGAGAAGCATGTACAGTGTGAATGACCCCCTAAAATTTAGGTGTACAGAGTAAGTGACCCACCTGTACATGTCATATACAAAATCAATGACCCCCTACCTCCCAGAACAAAATGGGTGACCCCCTTAAAATCATCATCAACCCCTTAACCATATATTATGAACGGTCCATAGTGAAAGTTCTTGAATATTAACATGATCAGTTCACATTCAGGGCTGCTGTCAACACATCAACTGAGCTGAAGTGCCACAGGCAATAGGTTATTACAGACTATCTGCCCCAAGTGAATTAATTTCTTAAGTTTGGAGCCTTTGCCTATTTTATTCTCTTCTTTTATTATATTTCTGAGTAAATGTACAAAATGTGGTGACCAATGAAATGATGTGGCAACCTGTCAGCATGGTATGATGGTGGTTTCAACTCACTAACTCACTCAACCACCAGCCCATTCACTCACTCACTCAACCACCAGCCCACTCACTCTCCTCGCTCAACCACTAATCAACTCATAATCACTCACTCAGTCTCACTCACTCAACCACCAGATCACCACAACTCGCCAACAACCACCAATCAACTCACTCACCTCACTCACTCAGTCTCACTGAGCTCAACATTTATGCAGACATGTCAGGTTCAACCAGGGGCAGTAGAGGGTTGTCTTTAGTGACAAGTCAACCTTCTCACTGTACTTTGCCAATGGCAGGGTCAGGCATGATGTGCCAACGGTCAGTCTCAAATGATTTGTCATCCTGGGGCATCTCGCAACCATACAGTATCGAATCAAGTTTTGACCCTTCTTTCTGCCATTCATGTCGCTACATGGTCCTTGACTAACATTTCAACATGACAACACATACTGCAGTTGTTACACACAACTTCTTGTAACGTCAATGTTGTACCTGACATGGCTGATGTCTGACATTGATGTCACTGACTGGCCTTCCTATTCCCTAGACCTTAATGTGATCACACACATTTGGAATGACCTGGGAAGACAAGTGTGACAGCAGATGAGTCAACCCAGGACCTTGCAAGAATGTTGTGCTGCCATCATGGCTACCCTTGGAAACACTTAGTCTAGTTATTGACTTTTTCTGTTCCAACAGTTTTATTAGTGTCAAGTTCGCACTGAGAAGTCATGGAACATCATGAATTATTTTTCCAATAAAATGAGGCTGCAATCCACTTTTTGTTATCTGTATTTTACCAGGATGATGGCAGTCCGATCAGTGATACACATCTTATGCGGAACACCAAATTTATTCTTTAAAAACTTGTGGTTAATTAATACCGAGCGATTAAAAGTGGCCAAAAAGTCGCCTGCTTCCCTCTACCAACCAACGAAACCACAGACAGGTTACGTAACTCTGTCGCCAGAGCACTGCAGTGACGTCATATAAGGAACGATTTTCAGTTAGTTGTATAGAAAATGTGTAGCACGCTCATCATTTTGATGATTTCTCGACATCAACGACGACATGCCGAATCATTGCTTTGTCGTCAATTGCTCCTAGGGTCGGGGCGATGGTGTCCCCATGCACATATTTCCACGGACCCCGCGAGTTCGTGCTAAATGGGTTATGTTTGTGAGTCTTGGCTGGCGTTGTGGAAGCCTGAAACAATATCTTACTTGTGTTCAGATCGCTTCACAGAAGTTAAAGATTCAAAACTACTTACTAGTTGTAGTAAAATATGCATATGATTGATGACCATAAAGATTTTCTATGACACAACTTGTAACATAACGATTTTCTTCCTCGAAGTGAGGTTGTGGTCAAGTAACAATAATATTGTGAAAGTAGTATTATATTGACACCCACCTCGCTGCCACCAGAGAAATTGTTATGTTATACTATGTCATGCAAAATCCTATTGGCCATCAATAAAATACATATTTTACTACCAGTAGAGTAGTTTTGATTTTAACAACTAACCGGTGAAAACAAACCTAAATACCATTTATCCTCAGACTGGATGGATGTTCCGACAGGCGCCGCCATTTTTAAAATAAAAAATCTGTTAGAATTAATGAGATTATAGTTTGTTTTCATCAAGGTTAGAAAATCAAAACTACTTTCTACTAAGTAGTTAAATATGTATTGGAATCATAAAGCAAAGCGGATTTTGCATGACACAACTTATAACATAACGATTTCTTCCACGGAAGCGAGGTGGGGGTCGAAGTCACAATACTCTTGCGCGATAAATTTCTAGCTACATTCCCATGGTTAAAGTCCACTCACCAATATGTAGATACTAGTCAATGTGGCGTCTTTATATTTGGTCTTATAATCCTAATTAGTTTATTATCATACTTGTATGCATTTTGAAACTAAATAAAAGCAGGCGATCTGCTGATACTTATAGTGAATTTATAACAGAACTGTAATATCTAGACATTTTATAGTTTGCCAATGTGAATCATAATTCAGCACACACACCCTAGTGCATGTTGTCTGTCTCATTACACTTCACGGTGAAAACAATGATTCTGTTGAATGCTACGACAAATGAATAAAAACAAAATGCAAATATTAAAAATTAAAACAGATTAAAGTTATAGGAACAATATCAGGCCATTACCTTGTTCGAGGAATGTATCCATCAATATCCACAAAACTGTTCCAAATGATGTGTCTTTTAACAGTTTAATATACGAAAAAGTGATAAATCTTTTCAGGTATTGGTGTATAGTCTCATTGGTCCCCAAGATAGCACACCTGGCAACTAATTGCATAATGTCCGCCTTTCTTTAAAAACAGTAATTTAGTTAGCCAATAATGGGCAATCAATCAATGTATTGCCGGTTAATCCTTTGAAAGAAGGACGTTGTTTTTACGCAGACACCCGACCACGACAGAGTGTATTCAGTATAGATTAGTAAATCTACATACATAAACACTACCTTTTGACAATTCCGCTGTAAGATAAAAGTAATTAATCAATCAGCGTGTTATCGGTTAATCCTTTGATCGATGTTTATAATGTTGAATATTTACTCCAGACACAAGAAATGCCAAATGGGAACCTTTGTCGGGTAATCTAAGTGTGTTACCACTAATTATACCTGTTATAAATTCATTAACTGACCATCAAGTGAATGATGACAAATAACATGTAGGTTTATACCACCTAACACGGGTTACAAGGGAGTATTAATTGCTGTATTGCATGTGAAAACTTATGGGCCGACACTGTTTTGAGAATACAAACAGATTTTTACATGACATGATTAAATATCGAGGTAAAAAACACAGAAATGGGATCAATTTGGATCAGTCATTATACAAATAGGGCCTAACGACATTCAATCGATTTTGACAGAATCGTCTATGAAAACAAGTTGTAACTTCGGAAACTAGGCAAAGCAGGAGACAAAATTAAATGACAGTAGATTGTGAGAACATATAGCTTTCATTTTCCACAACAATTGTCCGCGATTTCAGGTTTATACAAGCCTGTAAACAAGATAATTTAACCCCTAAAATGTAGATGAATTCTGCATCGGCCCTCAAAGCTATTCCTCATATGACGTCACAGAGGCGCGCCGCTCTGATTGGTTGAAATTTCGTTCGCGGGTGAGAATTGTGCACTGTTGTCAAAAAGGTCGATTTAAGTCAATTAAAGGTCGAAATGAGTAGTTTTAATGACGGGGTTTCATTTATAACGATGCCAGTTAGTGATTTATGTATTTGTACCCCCTAGGGTTTATGTGACCTTTAATCATCGCTAAACTGAATAAAATAAATTTCAAAATATCACTGTGAGTTTCAACTTGGTATTGCAAATGTTTAACCCATATACCCAACTTGTGACATATGTAACTACATAAATCACCTGGAAGTTACCTTGGAGGTGGTGGGGAGAGGGCAACAGTGAAATGAATCTAATCATAAAAGATATGCTATCAACAACCAAGTCTGTCAAAAACAGGTTCATATCTATGCAAATTCAATCCTGAATGGTAAAGCTAATTAAAGTGGGTGCTCCAGCTGCATCACATGTTAATATAATTTTGTTTTAGTTTTTATCTTCATGTTAATTTGCTTTATGAAAATGAAAGCAATCAGCAACGTGTTCAGTAGTGATGACAGTAATAACCTCTATTTGATTGTGCTGTCAGTGGCAGAAAACACTAGGTGAGACATTTGAAGTGACAGCTAAGCCATTCGTTACAAATGTCGCAGGTTCAGGTCTCTTAGTAACTGTCCAAGACAAATATTAGGAGACGGAGTTGTTTCAAAAAGCTGTTTAGTTGCCTGTAAGAGGAAAAGTCAACATCATGAAATGTTGATATCTGTCTGCCATCGTCCGAGGCTGACAGGTGACATTGCAGACAAATAGAAGGTGAATTCAAATTGTCCTGACAGACAAAGGATAAAATAATGGTTTAAGTAAAATAGGCAACATATTTATTACCACACGTGCTGTGCATGGTAGTAGCACGTTATACAAGAGCCTGCAATGGCAAGCATGGGCTGTTTAACATGTTTAAACACATTATTATGGAAAATATTTTTTGTCAGTTTAATATGAATGGTGTATATTAGATACATATCATAATGGATTGATGATGAGGTAATCATGAACAGGAAAAAAATTAACTTTGACAACATTACTCATAAATAACACGTGTTGAATACTTTCTTTCCTCCCTCCTCCGCTACAAAACACAGTGACAATTCATTAAGTATGATAAATCTAAAATTACTGTTTCAATATAAATTTCTGAAAATGGAATGAGTTCTCAGTGCTTTATGCCGCAGCGTTTACAAGGCTTTACCTTCGGTTTGGGAAGATACGATTTGATCGTTTCAAACATGCGCCATTTCAAAGAGATGTCAAACCTGACAGCTGTCAAACCGGAGACAATCCCTCAGGCCCCAGCGCATCTGTTTGCTGCTTTTCTGACCGATGTGCATAGAATGCTTAATGTATACAGTCATCCACGTTTCCTGCACACTATATCAGCAAAACGAAAGACAATGCATGGAAATAAACCAACCAGTATCTACCTGCATTACACAGAATTTCCCTTCCTTCGGCTCCAATTAAAATTCTCAAAATATCAATTTTCAACCGGAAGTAAACATTGTTACCCCCCTTTGATCAACAGTTACTTCCCCGTGCGAATACGACAATGTGGTCCCGGGTTCTCACCGAAAGTTGGAATTAACGAAAATGATGTTTGTTTTTAACTCCTCGATATTTTATTGGTTCGTATAATGATAAAGTGAATAGATGGTAATCCATATAATAGCTGTCATTGCATTCATTAGAATAAATAACTCACCCCCGGTAACAGCTTGTCTCTATCCAGAATCAAAACTTGTAAACGCTAACACGGACCCAGACAACTGGACAAAGCGACGGAGAGGTTAATTGGGGAAGAGGTTAACCAAACATCATCATGTCACTTGTCAAACAAAGAATGTGGAAAGAGTTCCTTCCGTTCCCCCAACTCTAAACCAAACTCTAAACCTAACCCTAACCCTAAACCTATCCCTAACTTAAATTTTGGACTTTTAATCATTTTGTAAGTTCTCTAGTAATTGTTGTGTTAAGTTTTGTTTATAATTCTAGAATATTTATACATATTATTTGGGATGGGGGAACGGGAGGAACCCTTACCAAGAATGTTACATGACAATAGCCTTGGCCCTTTGTAAGGCAGAAACTGTTTTACTTTGTAGGATGTGAGTTGCAATCGCGTGGCAAGTCGCTCACTGCACTTGTTGAGCTCTGTACAGTACATTGGAAAGGTTCCAGGGACCTTAGAAGTTTCAAATTATCAGAGCATTTAGTTTGAGACCATGATATTGAGAAAACCAGCATCGCCATCACAGGAAACTGTTACTTGCACTTTCCATCAACAAACATTAAAGTATTTATGATTTGTGCAGTTTCATCAGAGTGAGTGAGTGAGTATGGTTTTATGTCGCTTTTAGCAATATCACAGGTCTTCAGCATGATGAGCGGACACTTTAATAGGCTACCCCACTGCCCCAGTTACATATTCATGAACTACATATGGTTGGTGTTTTTATTTTGTCTTATTGGAATCAGAGACCATATATGGTCTCTGTTGGAATGAATTTACCCCAAGATGGAGTCCCCATGTAATGTGTCAGTAACTTGGCTGATAGTGTGTCATGATAGTGTGTCATGGTACCAAAACTGCAACGATATTATTACCCGTAGTATCATAGCTCAACATTTGATTGTTTACAGACCACAGTCATATGAGAAAGTAAGATACAACTTCATTATTATATACATGATGCGACATTTCGGTATAGATTCTTATACTGTTGTCAAGCAAGAGTGAAGTACTGCAGCACAGAACAGACTTATATACATCAACAGGGATTAAAGTAATAACAACATGTAGGTATGGAGTATGACTGGAATAATGCTTACAGCAGTATAAACAACAAACACCCAAAAATTATAGTACAAAATTTCTCAAGTATGTGAGACATAACCCAAAAGTTGTTCGTTTTGTAATTTCAGCCTCTTTTGAAGAATGACAGCCATTCTAGCAATTAAGTGTGATGACAACAGATGCCCGAGAGTGCCAGTCCTGTTGCCATGACAACAGGGACCCAGGCAGCGATGTGTCAGAGTCAGCAGAAATTGATGGAGGCCCCAAGTTTGTTCCACAGCTGTATGTACAGAGATACAGCTTCGTTCCGAAATGTCCTGCATCAACATCTAGTGACAAGTGTAAGTCATGGTAGAAGGTAGCTGCTGTAGCATTCATTCAAAGCACTTCCATATTTCCATGTGTTTAAAACACACCCTGTTCAGCTTTGAGAGGACAATTTTAACTAAGAAAACATTTTTACTTTGGGCCAACATTAAATCACTTATATTTTCTTATAGAGCCTTATATTTTCAGTCCTCAAATGAAGAGGTGGCTGAAATAATCACAGATTTTCACCCGTATCCTGTCAATCTTTGTGCCTTAGTCTTTGAATGAAACAATGACATAAACATAATCTAATGACATGACAAGGAATCTGTGTTTGTAGATAGTATCATCAATAAAAAGCAGTAAATTTACCTTTCTGTCATATCTCAGAAACTGGTCATTAAAATATAAAATAACTACATGTGCAAGCAGAGTTTTTGAAAACCTAATGTCATAATTAATACGAAAATTAAAATAACCAAATATAAACAATAGTTCAGTAAATGTAATCACATGTTAAAATTGTAATGGTTGATTATAAAATATGGACTGACCTACCAATTAGTGATAAAAGTCTTAAACTTTCAATCTTTGAAAAAATATTCACATTTATTTTAAATATACAAGAAATTATGGTATGTTTATGCGTTTGTAGTGATATTGATGTTGGGAAAGTTTATGAAAATGTAATATCTTAAATAATATCAGAAAAAGTCGAAACAACTCTGTATTAACTCAATATATTTTCAGAACCGGAAATGATTTCATGACTACTTGGTACCTACTTTAATCAATTTAATCCAATACTTAACGTTAGTATTAACCATAACTTAACAGCGGTAGTAAATCAATTGCTTATTGTACATAAATAATGTAAATCAAACATTTCATTAATTCCTTTTGTTTTACAGATAAAAAACATGTCCACTATTCAGTGATCGAAAACTGAATTTGTGACTACAAACATAGATCAGTGGTTCAGTAGCTGTACGAATGCTATATATATTTACAGTACACAAATTACTTAGTGTTTTAGAAAGTCTCTTTTTGAATTGTTCACTTGGAATGCTGCTTTTTTTAACAGTTGTCACAATCAAAGGTTGACAATTATAGCAGAGTTTGTTTTTCATTTTCAAACAAACTACCAGTTTGGATTAGCACCCCTTGACTACAATTTCTAACATACCATGGACCTAAGAAATCCATTGGGCCAACGTCAGAATGTTATCTGGAAACCAATTCACAGTAGAAAGTTACTGTGGGCTTTATTGAACTTTAAGCATTTAGAACTTGCACTGGTGCATCCTGAAACTGTAAAATGGAACTTCATATTTATACCAACATGCACCAGTACATGATAACATTTTGCTGTTCAAAGAAGACAGACTTCAGCTGGAAGGCAAAATGACGTGGAGCAGTGACTCCAATGACTATACAGACAGTGACTGAATGAATGTTACTGTTCATGTCATGAAATTTTATAAAGTAAGATCAAATGATTTTATCAGACCCAGAATAATTTTGTTGTAATGATGTTCTAAATCACCAATACTAAAACTCAAGCATTTTACATAATTTTATATTGAACAGCAGGTCAACCTGTTTTTGTCTGGTGCAACAATTGACACCTAAGGTTGCACCTGATGCAAATAGGCTCATTTCCTTAAATCAAGCATTGTATCATCATTAATTTTTTTAATTTTATTTTAACGTGTTTATTTCCCAGTACATGTTTACATGACATTATAATTATGAATAGATATTCACATATACAAGGCATACATAAATAGATAGTATTTACAGGCTTGGCATAGGGCCTTAGTCGGTGTTACATTGACCATTCTTTCTTTGCAGATATTACATATAGATAAGTAGGCATCGGTACATAATGTTGTTTCATATTGTATATGAATTACAACTTGTGTATGTCTGACTACCTCTGGTAACATGCAAGGTATAAGTCATTTAACATTACCCATTATTTCTCAACAGATGTTTACATGTACATAAGTATACATAGTACAGTGTATGAAAACGTCTACTGCATGTTTGACTGTTTCTAATCACCTGCAAGGCAAATTATTTTAACATTAAAGTGTACTCTGTATCATCATTATGCTTCATGTGCCTGGAGTCTTGTTTAGAGCAAGCAAAAACTTACAACTTTTTTCGAAAGACCAATGTTAATGCATATCTTTGCATAAACTGTGATGGAAGTTATGAATAATACATACAATTATATTTGTATTTCCCATTAAGCTGAACGTAATATATTGTGATGAATATCATAATCATTGTGGTTTTCTGGGAAAAATAACCTGGAAATGGCAGTCACCTGTTTTCTTATGTCCCATTACTTTCCAGACATTTACATGGAAGGTAAAAATACCCTGTGTCATATCTGAAGTGATTTTGAGCAAAAGCTTGCTGTGATAGTTCAACTAATGAGCTTTTCGGAATTTTGATCCTGTGCTGAATGAATGAGGTAATTTCCTGTGCCCTTGACAAGTGGCTCATGTTTTGACCCATAGAGTGGGAATGAGGTTATTGTATGCTTCTCCAAAGAAGTTCAGGGCTACTCCTTTCTTCCATATTAATCTAGTTAATCTGCCAGGCCATGACAGATTAACTACTGTAGAATTGGGTGGTCCTCAACTTCTTATGAGTATTATATGGCAGAGCTTAACTTAACTGCTAGCCCTGTGGTATATGACCTGTAGTAACAGTAGAAGGCCAGTTGTTACTTAGGGACCGTTCATAATTTATGGCTAGGGGGGATGATGATGATTTTTCAAGGAGAAGCATGTACAGTGTGAATGACCCCCCCTAAAATTTATGTACAGAGTAAGTGACCCACCCTGCATGTCATATACAAAATCAATGACCCCCTACCTCCCCAGAACAAAATGGGTGACCCCCTTAAAATCATCATCAACCCCCTTAGCCATATATTATGAACGGTCCATAGTGAAAGTTCTTGAATATTAACATGATCAGTTCACATTCAGGGCTGCTGTCAACACATCTAACTGAGCTGAAGTGCCACAGGCAATAGGTTATTACAGACTATCTGCCCCAAGTGAATTAATTTCTTAAGTTTGGAGCCTTTGCCTATTTTATTCTCTTTATTATATTTCTGAGTAAATGTACAAAAATGTGGTGACCAATGAAATGATGTGGCAACCTGTCAGCATGGTATGATGGTGGTTTCACTCACTAACTCACTCAACCACCAGCCCATTCACTCACTCACTCAACCACCAGCCCACTCACTCTCCTCGTTCAACCACTAATCAACTCACTCACTCACTCAGTCTCACTCACTCAACCACCAGATCACTCACAACTCGCTCAACCACCAATCAACTCACTCACTCACTCACTCAGTCTCACTCAACCACCAGCCCACTCACAACTCAACCACCAACCACCTCACTCACTCAGTCTCTCTCACTGACTCAGTCTCACTCACTCAACCACCAGCCCACTCACAACTCAACCACCAACCAGCTCACTCACTCAGTCTCTCTCACTCACTCAGTCTCACTGACTCACTCACTCAACCACCAGCCCACTCACAACTCCCTCAACCACCAATCAACTCACTCACTCAGTCTCACTCACTCACTCAACCACCAGCTCACTCACAACTTGCTCAACCACCAACCAGCTCACTCACTCAGTCTCTCTCACTCACTCACACACTCACTCACTCACTGCCAACAGGTTGCAGATATTGGCTGTGGAGAATGTCGGATGGTAACTCTACTGAAGACAGTTCCATGTATGGAGAGCATCAGCCTGGTTGACCTGGACAAGCGGCTCCTGGAATCCAAGAAGGACTGTATCAGACCTCTGATATTTGACTACCTACACCAGAGGGAGAAGCCCCTGTGTGTCAGACTATTCCATGGAGACGCCACAGAGCTGGACTCCAGACTGCAGGGCTGTCAGGCTGTCACCATGGTAGAATTGTAAGCAGCTTTCTTTCGTTCCATGCCTTCAAATCATGGACATGGGTCAAATGTTAATAAAAGTGTACAACTCAATTTTGCTGCCCCAACTAAAATTCAAGAGTGCTCATGTTTTGACTTGTTTGTGAGATGTCCAAAATGTGGTGTGAATAAAAAAGATCTCATTAAATATGTTATACTTTGTTCCAGCATAGAGCACCTAGTACCATCTGACCTTCAAAAGGTCATAGAACGTGTATTTGGTGACCTTGGACCACGTCTGGTTGTCATGACAACTCCAAATGCAGAGTTTAATGTACTGTTTCCAAATTTTACTGGTTTCCGACACTGGGATCACAAGTTTGAATGGTCAAGGACAGAGTTCCAGAGTTGGTAAGTAAATGTTCATTATAATGTAGAATATTAGTAATGTGCCTTTCCAGGTTTCATATCCTGCTCACCGCCTCCGTGGTGTAGTGGTTAGAGCCGGAGAGCGGAAGGTCGCGGGTTCGATCCCCGACCGCGTCATACCAAAAGACGTTAAAATATGGTACTTGTTGGTCCCTGCCTGGCGCTCGACATTAATGGGTACAACAAGGACTGGTCAGCTCGGAGTCAGTATAATGTGTCTGAGTGGGGTATTCATGCTTCACTGTGGCTTGGTATCTCAGTGGGCTAGCACTATAAAACCAGCTTCAGTCTGGGCTAGTACAAGCAGCCGCACATACACATCCACACGCATGCACGTCGTCATATGAGCGAAATATTCTCAAGCACGACGTTAAACCCAATTTCACCTCACCTCACCTTCATATCCTGCTTAAAGCACATAAATGAAATCTGATTATTATTACCCCAGATAACCCAAGCTGCCTGAGGTGCTAGATTGTTAATAGTCACATGTCTTATCCCACTGGGTACCCATTTCCTACTGGGTGAACAGAGGCAAATTTAACCAAACTCACTTGCCTAAGGTGAGACCACATGTATCACATGTGCTTCGTTGTGGCGCAGGACTGAAGTCGTAGAAACTCTCAGGAGTCAAGCTGCCAAACACAGTCACCCATCCAAGGACTCAACTGATTTGTGACCTGAGCTCTATGCACAGGACCACACACCACCGTGTCATTATCAACAGTGATTGAACCTGACATCAAGGATGTCTGCTTGCATATTTTAGAACTGTCATGTGTTGTCTTGAAGACATATTTCAAGTCCGACTATCGGCAATATGAGGCAATGAAACCAAGAATCTCATACTTAAAGTTAACTCATCATACATGCAACTTAATATACTACCAAAGAAGTGAATTACGTCTCATTTTACAACAGACCCATGAAGATACGGGTTAGAATTGGTCTTCAGTAACCCATGCTTGTCGTAAGAGGCGACTAACGGGATTGGGCGACAACGTCATCATATCCAAATCGTTGTAGATCAATACTCATCCTGGATTGTCTGGTCCAGTTTTGATTATTTACAGACCGGTGCCATATAGCTGGAATTTTGCTAAGTGCAGCATTAAACAACAAAACAGCCAACCAATCATTTTACAGCAGATTGTGTATTGCATATGGAACAAATTAGTTTATTAAACAGTTACAGTTACCCTGATATCAGCAATGGAATACTGTTGCATCTTTAGGAAACTGAGGAAAACGTAAATATTTTCTTGCAGATCAGGAATACTCATGCTCTCATTCACTCATTCACTCACTCCACACAAGCAATGTTATGTCTGTTTTGTGTGCAGGTGTGGAGATATCTGTGATAAGTACCAATACAACGTGACCTATGACGGTGTTGGCAACGCCCCTGAGAGCTCCGCCCATGTCGGTCACTGTTCCCAGGCAGCCATTTTCACCAGAACACCGGAAGCAAGCAGTGCACACACTGTTGGTAGTCCCTGCTACACCCTGGTAGGTGAATATTAACATATAAACCTTTAAGGTTATTCCATCCTCACTCTAAAACCAGAACACCTGTAAAACTGACATTTTGGGGGGATTTAAAACATCTTTCCAAATCAGCTCACAAAGTTCCAGCCTTGATTTGAATCCGACGGCCATTTTGAAAATGTTGATTTTTACCATTATTGAGCAATTTCTACTGCAGTACAAGTATGATTATGACTTTTGATATGCAGTAAGCACATGGTGTTGGCTGTAACATATACCCCTTCACTCATGTGTCAGAGGCTATGCTGTATTGAAACATTTGGCCTTCAACTTAATTTGTAATTCAGTGCACATGGTAGTGTATGTGTTGTGTAAAAGCTTCATCTATTATGTGTAAATCTATCTATTATGCATGATCTGATGTTGTAAATATTTTTCAATTTTAAGTAAACTATATACATGTAGTGTTGCCGCCATACTTTTCAAGTTCTTAAAACGTATACCTGTAACCGATGTGGTTTCTCGCGATCTTGCTATTACCACCTCGAAAATTGTTTGTTAACATGTGATTGTCCAGCTACAAGAAATATGATTTAGAGAAACAAAATATATATATGTATCCATTTTCTGTCAACTACACTTCATTTCGAGGCGCGTGAGTTTGATGCAATATGATATTGATTGCTGTGAATAATGCGGACCAAAGTTATAAATATCAGAGGGACACAAAATTTCACTGCAGTTAATATAAAAATTGTTTTTGGACATTTTGACACAAACGCATTTTACAGCTAAGCAGCCAAGCACTCAAACCTCAGTGGGTGATAGAGCCTTTTCTGTAGCAGCACCAGCTCTATGGAACAATCTTCCAGTCACCCTCAGACGAACTGAGTCCCAGTTACTTTTCAAGAACTTGCTCAAAAGGCTTAGTCTCTATTCGCCCACATCCCTAATTGCCCACATCCCAATTGGCCCACAAAAAACATCAGAGGTTAATTAGGGTCAGACAATGCACCCCTACTCTCATAATGGGATTAGTCTAAAATCACATACATCTCTGAGTTACTTGACAAAGTGCTCTTGTTTCAGTGTTGTGGTAGTTATACAGGATGGAGAAGGAAACTTAGAGAAGATTTAAAGTATATTTCAATTTTGTCTAAATAAAGTAGAGAGTATTATTAATTAATGTATCTACTAATCGGAAATAACTTCTCTCTCCTTTCAATTTAGTAACTCACTGCAACCCTATAAGTATGGTAGTTTGCAAAGTATGGGCAGTCATAATGGCTAACCTACAGAAAGCAGAGTTCACGCGTTGTCGCAGAGAGGAGGAAAACAGGTTCTACACGGAGGTCACAAGTATCGACTGCGTTGACAGACAGGTAGCCACTCACTGGAAGTGTATCATCGACAAGTGCAAGGGTAGATGCAGCACCATTGGGGATCACATCACTTCAGTATCAGAACACAACCATCCTCCACTAGTGAATGAAGAAGAGAGTCGACTTCTCACCAGACTTAGACAACAGCGTTCAAGAAGAGATCAAGCCTGTCCAGCAAATCTACAATGAAGAGACCCAGAACCTAGGCGAAGAAGCTGCTGCTACTGTTGCTTCCTTCTACAGTATCAAGTCTGGACTCTACCGTCAGCGTGCCAAAGGTTCTTCCACCAGTCCCACGCGATACCCGTGCTGATGTAGACCTCACAGGTACCTTTTCAGTATTAACTTATCTACTGATATTTGCATAATGCTCAATTGATTTCTTGACAGTGTACTTCATTCATTCATTCATTCATCAAAAACAACGTCTAACACACTTGCTTGTTTTAAGGTTCCTGGACTGAGACAACAGGCGGACAACAGTTCCTGGTTGTAGACAGCGAAGATGAAGACAGGATCCTGATCTTCAGTACCCCAGAGATGCTGGACATCACCTCGCCAATGCAGAAACCATCTACATGGGCGGAACATTTTTGTGTGTCCCAGCCTGTGGCAACAAGTCTACATTGTGCACTGCCTTGTGGATGGACAGATGTTCCCAGTCGCCTTCTCCCTGCTGCCAAGCAAGTCTCGTGATACATACATTAGATTGTTTAACTACTTGAAGGACTCTGTGCTTGCTATTGTCGGCGTTGAACTTTCTCCCTCCGTTGTACAGACTGACTCTGAAGCTGCTGCTATTGGAGCCACTGAGAGAGTCTTCCCGATGCAGAAGTCCGTGGATGCTACTTCCACTTCACCCAGGCGGTTTGGCGGCAGGTTTCAGAGAAAGGCCTTGTGAAAACCTACAAGGACAACCGTGCCTTCAACACCCGTCGCGACGTGCTGCAGCACTCCCCTCCTCCCAGTGGATCAGATCCAAGATGCCTGGATGGAAGTATTGAACCAGTCTCCCGGCGTTGACGGAATCGGCCAGTTCAGCGACTACATCACATCTACATGGGTTGACTACTGGCCTTAAGATTCCCACCTCGCATTTGGAATCAACATGGAAACACTGGGCCAAGAACAAACAATCACTTGGAGGATTCCACCTTGGATTTAAGAAGCTGGTTCAGAAGCACCACCGAACATTTACGAGTTTGTGATCACAATGAAGAAGCTCGAGACAACAAACAGAGTGGCCAGAAGACAGATTGAGCATGGAGCAGCTGTCCGCCCAAGATCCAGACTCTACAAGAACCTGGACAGCCGCCTGCACAGACTGCAGCAGCAACTGGAAACTGGCAGAAGATCACCGCTACAGTTTCTGGGCCGCTGGACACCTGATCAAGTTGAACTGAACATTATGAAACTTTGTTACAGAAATAAAAACAAAATGTAAATTACTTTTGTCTTCATTTGCCCACATCTCAATTCGCCCACATCTTCAAAATAGGAGAGTCCATTCTTCAGTCATAGGTATGACACAAGTTGATCATTATGTAATCCCTAACCAATATGTTGTTTTAAAACTGTGGGCGAGATGGGATGTGGGCGAATAGAGAACATGCCGCTCAAAACCTACTTCTTCAAGATGGCTTCTGAACAGAACTCTTTTCACACTTATTGTGTGTTTAACGAAGCATGCAGCGCCGTTGAGCATCTGTGATGGAAACGAGGTGCTATACAAGCCAATTATTATTATTATCAAGATGGTAACTGCCAGTTGTCTTGTGGTCTGAGTTGGCCACAATTTGGACCCCATCGCGTGGGGTCAGCTTATGTACGAAACGTACAGATACGGATTTTCAGGGTCAAGTTAGGGGGTTGGCTTATCTATGAGATCGGCTTATCTACGGTAATATACGATACATGTGATGTTGCAAATGTTTTTTGTTTATTTCCCAGATTGCTGAATGTGATCACCCCTACAAGGAGAACAAGTCCACTGTAGAGGACAGACTTGCACTGGAAGTACAGTACCACATTCGGCAACTCACCCTGAACTCTGACCTTGATGAGAATGAAGGTCATTATGTGATAGCTGTGGAGAAGTTGTTTTCCTTCCGGCCAATCAAAAATATCTGTGATATTGACAAGCTCAGGTACACACTTTCATTGAAACATCCTATGACTGACAACCCTCTACTGTAAATCTTGAAATAAATGCAAGTGATGAATGCTAGTCTAGAATACATCTTAATAGAAATACTAGTGTTCCTATCTGGTGTTTTTGAACACTCATTGGTGCGCAAACATCTTTGCAACTAACTTATTTGATAAATGAGTTAAACTTTCATGATGCATTGGCGAATTGACAAGAGTGCAAACATTCATTTCAGTGAGTGAGTGAGTTTCATGCCGCACTCACCCATATGCCATCTATGTGGCGACTCAGTAAAACATGTTCATCAGAGCAGTAAGGGACCGTTCATAATTTATGGCTAGGGGGTTCTTGATTTGCCTTGATTATGATCCTTGATTAGTTAGTCAGTGCCAAACAATTGACACCTGTAATAAGGATTTGCTTCTGGGTTTCACCAAGGTGGTAAACATCAACTTCTCCCACGGGGCAGTGGGGTAGCCTAGTGATTAAAACGTTCACTCGTCACACCGAAGACCCGGGTTTGATTCCCCACATGGGTACAATGTGTGAAGCCCATTTCTGGTGTCCCCGGCCGTGATATTGCTGGAATATTGCTAAAAGCGGCGTAAAAATAAACTCACTCACTCACTCTTCTCCCACAGTAAGCTGACACACCATGTTGAACATGAGATGCTGTTTAAAGTGATCGGTTCGATCTTGTAACTTTTGTAAAACATGATCTCAACATGGACAGTGTTATATATTTTCAGCATTGTTATGTTGCTGTATAATCTGGAGATATTTGCTTTTTGCAGGTCTTATCTTCATTCCTGTTATACCCTCACCGATGATGGAGAGAATGTTCTTGTGCCCCATGATGACAGTGATGATGACCTTGAGAGGTCATGGGGTGAGGGACAGAGTTGGGATTCACACAATGTCATGTCACAGAATTTCAAAGAATGGACTGAAACTGAAGAAGCCTGGGACTAATGCTCTTTACAAGTTCTGGATATTTAATGAAGATCAAATGTGCCTTTCATCATGCTCAAGAACCTGGTTACCATGGTTACTACCTCTTGCCTTTAACATTTTTATGAGACCTACTACTGTAACTATGTTATGTCATGAGTTTAGAGTTAAACATTTTATCACCTTTTGTTTTGAAGTGAAACTAAAGTGATATATTTGTAATGAACATTCAAGTTTGCACTCGATAAAACATGGTGCTTTTCAGATTATTTGATTCCCTTCTTCGTATTCTTAATTTGAGTCTGTAAACTATTTGTTTTTCTTGCCTTTTGTCTGATGTTTCTGTTATCATTCAGTTTAAGGTATGTTCTGTATCAGTAAAGGGCCTGAGTTATAGTCCTATGTTGATGTTATAAAAATGTTACCGAGAAAACTGTAATTTCAGTGAAATGGTTCCCTTTAGCTTGTTATTTTTATGTTGTTTTACTGGAATACTCCAGTAGGATTTGTTTCTTTCTTTGATGTGTATCCAGATTATTTTTCCAAATGAATAAGATTATACTTTTACAAAATCCACTGTTATATTTATATTTTAGAAAGTAAGCCCTGTAACTGCTGAAGACTGCACCTGTGTGTATTTTCTATTCAGCATGAAATTATCCTATACAGGGAAGCACCTTGCTTGGTAGAGTTGTGTCCCTTAGCTGTGCCAAGATCTGCTGTGCCATGAATTAAGGTCACTGATGTACTTACTGTGATTCTTTGTCTGACAGTATTATACGTGTACATGTATTCTTTTGTTTCAATGTTGGCCCCCCTTTTGCATAATTACTGCTGCAAATGAAACAATTCTAATCTTAGGAGAATTTCTGTGGCAAAGGATAGTTTAATAAATAGTGTTTCATATATGGATAGTTGCGTCTTTAACCTGACATCGGCAATTCACAGCGTACAGTTGCGTCCCTTAGTCTTGCTGTGATCCTGTTAACGTTTGTTTTATCCTTGATTCAGACTGATTCTTTGTTCATCAGAATCCTCAGTGCATATGGATTCGCCAAAGTTGTAACTCTAAGATCCCCTCAAACTTTCCTTCCACATGAGACCGTCTCCCTGGTGTAGTGGTTAGAGCGTCCGCCCCGAGAGCGGAAGGTCCCGGGTTCGATCCCTGACCGCGTCATACCAAAAAGACGTTAAAATATGGTACTTGTTGGTCCCTGCCTGGCGCTCGGCATTAATGGGTACAACAAGGACTGGTCGGCTCGGAGTCAGTATAATGTCTCTGAGTGGGGTATTCATGCTTCACTGCGGTATGGTATCTCAGTGGGCTAGCCCTATAAAACCAGCTTAAGTCTGGGCTAGTACAAGCAGCCGCACATACACATGCATGCACGTTGTCATATGAGCGAAATATTCTCAAGCACGACGTAAAACCCAATTTCACCTCACCTCCTTCCACATGAATCTGAACAAATATGAGTGAAAGAGCAGCTGCCTAAAACCCAAATTACTTTCGGTCTTCACTTTCTGTCATGTTGGGCAAGCATTATAGACACTCGCATGTCCATCTTCTCTCCTGGTTCATCCCCGACAAATAGTACCATTCTTGTAGTATGTGATGCTTTGGGACAAGGATTAATAACGATATCGTAACTATACAATATCACTTGTCATTGTATATTCAGCCTATGAGGGTGAGAGCACTCGGAACGCCTTCCACTCATAGTAAGGAGGCCAGTATCATTTAAATTGATATTTCATGTACTAATATCTTAATCTTGTCCTAATATTATAGCCTGTTTGTCTCTTGAGTTGAAAGAAAGCTGTGTCCCTAAATGCCCCACAATATTTCAAATTTCTGGAACCGCAAACAATTTCCTTTGCCAATATGAACACAAGGGCACTGTTTACAAATACAAACTTTGTGAGCAGCCCCCGGCCTACTGGGATTAAGACATTAAAACATTATGGATGCTTTCGATGCTGGAAAAGATAGGCTAAAAGAGAAGAAGAACCCGTCTAATGTCCCAGTCAGCTATCATACCCTACATGGAAAAGTTGTTTCCCTACCTACCTACCTCTTGCCTTTTGTCTGATGTTTCTGATATCATTCAGTTTAAGGTATGTTCTGTATCAGTAAAGGGCCTGAGTTATAGTCCTATGTTGATGTTATAAAAATGTTACCGAGAAAACTGTAATTTCAGTGAAATGGTTCCCTTTAGCTTGTTATTTTTATGTTGTTTTACTGGATACTCCAGTAGGTTTTGTTTCTTTCTTTGATGTGTATCCAGATTATTTTTCCAAATGAATAAACTTATACTTTTACCAAAGCCACTAATATATTTATATTTTAGAAAGTAAGCCCTGTAACTGCTGAAGACTGGACCTGTGTGTATTTTCTATTCAGCATGAAATTATCCTATACAGGGAAGCACCTTGCTTGGTAGAGTTGTGTCCCTTAGCTGTGCCAAGATCTGCTGTGCCATGAATTAAAGTCACTGATGTACTTACTGTGGTTCTTTGTCTGACAGCATTATACATGTACATGTATTCTTTTGTTTCAATGTTGGCCCCCCTTTTGGATAATTACTGCTGCAATGAAACAATTCTAATCTTAGGAGAATTTCTGTGGCAAAGGATAATTTAATAAATAGAGTTTCATATATGAATAGTTGCGTCTTTAACCTGACATCGGCAATTCACAGCATACAGTTGCGTCCCTTAGTCTTGCTGTGATCCTGTTAACGTTTGTTTTATCCTTGATTCAGACTGATTCTTTGTTCATCAGAATCCTCAGTGCATATGGATTTGCCAAAGTTGTAACTCTAAGATATTCATCACCTCAAACTTTCCTTCCACATGAGACCGCCTCCGTGGTGTAGTGGTTAGAGCGTCCGCCCCGAGACCGGAAGGTCGCGGGTTCGATCCCCGACCGCGTCATACCAAAAAGACGTTAAAATATGGTACTTGTTGGTCCCTGCCTAGCGCTCGGCATTAATGGGTACAACAAGGACTGGTCGGCTCGGAATCAGTATAATGTGTCTGAGTGGGGTATTCATGCTTCACTGCGGCATGGTTTCTCAGTGAGCTATCACTATAAAACCAGCTTAAGTCTGGGCTAGTACAAGCAGCCGCATATACACATACACATGCATGCACGTTGTCATATGAGCGAAATATTCTCAAGCACGACATTAAACCCAATTTCACCTCACCTCCTTCCACATGAATCTGAACAAATATGAGTGAAAGAGCAGCAGCCTAAAACCAAAATTACTTTCGGTCTTCACTTTCTGTCATGTTGGGCAAGCATTATAGACACTCGCATGTCCATCTTCTCTCCTGGTCCAGCCCCTCTCCTGGTTCATCCCCGACAAATAGTACCATTCTTGTAGTATGTGATGCTTTGGGACAGGGATTAATAACGATATCGTAACTATACAATATCAATATCAACAATTGTATAGTCAACCTATGAGGGTGAGAGCACTCGGAACGCCTTCCACTCATAGTAAGGAGGCCAGTATCATTTAAATTGATATTTCATGTGCTAATATCCTAATCATGTCCTAATATTAAAACCTATTGGTCTCTTGAGTTGAAAGAAAGCTGTGTCCCAAAATGCCCCACAATATTTCAAATTTCTGGAACCGCAAACAATTTCCTTTGCCAATACGAACACAAGAGCACTGTTTACAAATACAAACTTTGTGAGCAGCCCCCGGCCTACTGGGATTAAGACATTAAAACATTATGGATGCTTTCGATGCTGGAAAAGATAGGCTAAAAGAGAAGAAGAACCCGTCTAATGTCCCAGTCAGCTATCATACCCTACATGGAAAGTTGTTTCCCTACCAAGACCATAACCATTTGATGTAAACATCACTACATTGAAAGGTTTAACAGAGTTTTGTAAAAGTGTCCTATGAAACCATGGCACATAGAAGGCCATTAACTGAGGAAGAAATCTGAAGAAAACATCCAATCGGTACAAACAACCGTTGGCTTGACTGTAAAGAACATGTCCATTCCTCTTTTGAACTGGACTGGGATCAAAAGCTCCAGATACGCTCACCTTTTCCCGTTGACGGACCGCCCGTCCAGATAATACGCCAACCAGACTCTTATTTTCGAACATTCAATTGGTTTGTGTCTGCCACCGTATGAGATCGCAACATATTTTGCTCAGTCGAATCTCGCTTCATCTAGTTTCATGTTTAAACCTCCCAGGAGGGCATACTGAGCTGCAACATATAAGACTGATACCTGCTTGGCTTGGCACATTCATTTGCCTCCATTCTATTACAAGAGCAACTTAGATCTTCTCTTTTCTGTGTACTGGTGTCATATATCAAAATAGTATAGGGTAAATACTTCTTCAATCTTACAGGAACTTTTGTTGTTACACACGTTTTGTGGCACAATGGTTAATTTCTAATCGGCCATGTTGCGTTTGTTCACAATAAGGTGACTGCCCTTGTGTTATTTACACCACCTAGTAATAACGATGGACGTTCCAGATTTCTGGTCAAATTTTTGTGTGATGTCTGATGTTCTTTTAGTCTGGTGTTGAAGGGTCTGAGGTTTCAACAACGCAGCGGTTGCCACAATTGCAGATCAGCAAGAACAAAGCCCATACTATCATGTTGGTTGCCACCAAGTCTTGTCCACCACCACTTCAACAACTGGTGTTGAAGGAAGCTACAAGAGGCCATTGACACCACCAGTCGTGAACCGTGACACGCGAACATATCTATAACTGAGCTGAGCTGTGTTGGGCTTTACGTCACATCGGCATTATTCCAGCCGGGATCAAGTCTACATTCATACACATTTTAAATACAAAGTCCAAAAGATCTTTTAAACATATATATTCACCACGTTATTATTTCCAAACAGAGAATGTCATAGCACCAAATTAAAAAACAAGCAATCCGTCATTCACATCACATAGTTAAAATTTATGGTACAAGGACCCGTTCTTCTAAGCGAACGTAGCGCTACGACAGTCGTAACTTCCATACTTTAACATAGACTTACGACTGTCGTAGCGCTACGATCGCTTTGAGGAACGGGTCCCAGGTCAAGTACATATTTATAATGCGTTCAGGAATGACTATATAGTAATATATATATATGACTTATCTTATGTTGACTATTTACCGGGTTTGTTTCCATTTGTCCACCAGACCCGTGAAGATCCGGGTTAGAATTGATCTTCAGTAACCTATGCTTGTCGCAAGAGGCGACTAACGGGATCGGGTGGTTAGGCTCGCTGAAGTGGTTGACACATATTATCGTATCCCAACTGCGTAGATTGATGCTCATGCTGTTGATCACTGGATTGTCTGGTCCAGACCGCCGCCATATAGCTGGAATATTGCTGAGTGCGGCGTAAAACTAAACTCACTCATTTGTCCATCACTGTCACCGATCAGTGTTGATAACCCTGATTTCCTTCCTTTTGACAAGCAGGTCAAAACAGATTTACTGCTAACTTCCCATGTTTAGCACCCATCTTGTTTTGTTATTACTTTTGTTGTTCATGTGAGAATAAGAATATACTCGAAACATTGTGTTTCTTACCCTTTGACTTCCAGGTTTTCTTTACATCCAGTTGTCCTGCAAAGAACAAATAATCGATTCTGGACCAGACAGTCCAATGATTGACAAGCATTGATCTACGTACACTTGGGATACCATAACATGTGTTAACCAAGTCAGTGAACCTGACCACTCAATCCCATTAGTCGCCTCTTACAAGCATGGGTTGCTGAAGATCAATTCAAACCCGGGTCGTATTGCACAGAAAACGACTGTTTTTCAGCATAGAACATCATATTTTCATGTTTTACTGTAGCTTTTGTAAAGACTGTCTGTCAATGTTCATAACAGTGAGTGTGAGCGAG